CATCTGGTATTTCATGTTTCTATGCTACGGAAGTATATTGGGGATCCGTCTCATATTCTGTGTTTCAACACGGTTCAGTTGGATGGTAATTTGACTTATGATGTAGAGCCAACAACTATTTTGGAGTGTCAGGTTCGAAAGTTGAGATCAAAGGATATAACTTCAGTGAAAGTGCGGTGGAGAGGTCAGCCCATGGAGTAGGCTACCTGGGAGATCGAGCGGGAGATGCGAAGCAGATATCCTCACCTTTTTGAGGCTTCAGGTACGTTTCTTGACTCGTTCGAGGACGAACATTTGTTTAAGAGGGGGAGGATGTGACGACCCGGCCAGTCATCTCATGAGTTACCGCTCCGTTTCCCCCAATTCTGCTTCTTATTACTTTGTTTATCGGTTTTATATGTTATTGGGTTGGTTGGCTTGGGTTCGGAAGGAATTTGATAAGGTTTGAGACACTTAGTCTTTTTTGAGGTAGCTTAAGTTGGAAAAGTCAACCGGATGTTGAATTATGTGTTAGAGGACTTGGATGTGAGTTCCGATGGTTCGGATAGCTTCGGGAGGTAATTTGGGACTTAGGAGCGCGATCGGAATGTGTTTTGGAGGTCCGGAGTAGATTTAGGCTTGAATTGGCAAAATTGGATTTTTGGGGTTTTCCGGTTGATAGGTGAGATTTTGATATAGGGATGGGAATGGAATTCCAAGAGTTACAGTAGTTCTGTTGTGTCATTTGGGATGTGTGTGCAAAATTTCAGGTCATTCGGACGTGGTTTGATTGGGTTTTTGATTAAAAGCATAATTTAGAAGATTTTGGAATTCTTAGGCTTGAATCCAATACGAATTTGGTGTTTTGATGTTGTTTTGAGTGTTCCAAAAATTTGAAGAAGTTTGAATAATATTATGCGATATGTTGGCATGTTTGGTTGAGGTCCCGGGGGCGTCGGGTGAGTTTTCGGTGGTCAATCAGATCATTTCTAGATGTTGAGAGTTGTAGAAAATTGTTGTTCAATGTTGCAGAGAAATGGCCTTCGCGTCAAGTAGGCCCTCGTGTTCGCGAAGGGTTAGTCGAGGAGGATGAGATTTTAGCCTTCGCATTCGCGAGGAAGGCTCCGCGTTCGCGAAGGGCTGGGAGGTTATGCATCGCGTTCGCGAGAAGGGGAGCGCACTCACGTAGAGGAAGTTGGGCAGCTAGGTTTCAGGGTGTTTTGTTCATCGCGTTCGCGAGAGAGGGAGCGCGTTCGCGAAGGGTTAGGCTGAGGAACCATCGCGTTCGCGAGGGTCAAGTCGCATTTGCGTAAGAGGATTTTTGGTCAAAGATATTTGTGCTTCAGGAACGCGAGGCATTGACCGTGTTCGCGAAGAAGGAATTGAGGCCTAGGCAGAATGTTAAAATAGTCATCTTGTCCACGATTTTGGGGTTAACTTCCACCATTTTTGAGCGATTTTGGAGCTTTTTGAAAAGGATTGAAGAGGGATTCAAGGGGAAACACTTGAAGGTAAGATTCATGGACTTAATACTCGATTCTAATGTGAATTCTACTTAATTAATCATGGAATTTAAGCCTAAAATTGAAGAACTAGGGCTTGTAATTGGAGACCTAGAATTTGGGATTTGAGGGGTCGTTTGTGGTTGGATTTTGATGCTTTTGGTATGAATGAACTCGGGGAGTGATAAGGAGTCTATTAATGTAATTTTTATCGAAATCTGATACGTGAGCCCGGGGGTCGGGTTTGGCCAATTTCGGGAATTGTGTTGTAATTTGATTTCTTTCGAGTGGGCTTTATTCTCTTCGCATATTTTGATGATTTTGCACTGATTTTGGTTAGATTTGGAGCATCCAGAGGCCAATTCGAGGGGCAAAGGCATCGCGAGCTACATGTTTGGGCCAGGTAAAGGTGAGTAATGATTGTAAATGTTGTCATGAGGGTATGAAACCCCGAATTGCACATCGTGGTGCTATATTGAGGTAACACACACGCTAGATGACGAGCGTGAGGTTGTGCACTGTTGGAGATTGTGACTTAGTCCGTCCCGAATGACTATTTTACCGTGTATTTGACTGAAAACTATTTGCTATTATCATGTTTTGGGCTGAATGCCATATTTGGGCCTTGTGCCAAATATTTGAACCCTTAGGGAATTTTTATTGATATTTCCTCACTGTTTTGACTTTACACTTGTACTCAGTCATGCTATATTCTATTGTTTTCATAACTCAGCCATGTCTACTCTACTTAACACCTAAAATGATATTTTAGGCTGAGCATCATGTTTTACTGTTGCCCGAGTGGCTTGTGAGAATTTTGACTGAGTAAGGCCGAGGGCCTATGTTGTGAGGAAACACCTGATTATGATTATGAGGCAGAGGGCCTGATATTTGTACGCCACGAGGTGGCTTGCTGATATGAGGTCGAGAACCTAGTGATGATGCCACGAGATGGCTTGATATTGCGCTTGGGCCGTAAGGGGCCCCTCCAGGAGTCTGCACACCCCCAGTGAGCGTGGGTACCCATTGTGATGTGAGATATATCCCGAGGGGCCGGTATTGTTTTATGTGTTGCCCGAGGGGCTGATTTTGTTGTTATTGTGCCCAAGGGGCGGTTCCTAATGTGTTTACCTTCTCTAGTTGCCTGTCTTTTACTTGCTTAACTGTTTAAAAAGGGATTTTAAGAAGCTTAAACTGAACTAAAGGGACCCTGTATATTTTCACTATTTCATTACTTTTTACTGGTTTTTACTGCTTCCTTATAGCCTGTGATGTGCCTTACATGATTTCATATTTCTCAGTCTTTATTTATGATTATTACTCACTGAGTTGGAGTACTCACTTTACTCTCTGCACCCCGTGTGCAGATTCAGGTGCTTCAGGTCTTGCTGGCGAGGGTTGAGAGCTTTCAGCAGATTTCGGAGTTCACGAGGTAGTTGCTCGGCGTTCGCAGCCCCGTGCTTCTCCCCCTTATCTCATTTCTTTTCTTTATTAAGTGTTTCTGTAATAGCCGTGTAGACTTTTCAGACTTGTAGTAGATTGAAAATGCTCATGACTAGTGACACCCCGATGTCGGGCCGTTTTGGTTTAATTTCCGCAAACTATGTTGTTCACTACTTATTTTGGTTTTTTATCATGTTTAAAACTTAATACTTATTATTTTAATTGCTTAAAATTAAAGTGGGAATGTGTCGGGTGGCCTTGTCTTCACGAGATGTGCCATCACGATCAGGTCCGAGTTTAGGGTCGTGACAGGTCAAGAGTCCCTTTCCACTCTAATCAAGGCAACCATGACATGGCTAATGTCACCATCTTGGCGTAACAATCAAAAATAGCGTGATAAGGTGACAACCAACTCATACCCAAGATAACATCAAATTCTACCATATCAAGAAGTAGAATATCTATACTTGTCTCAAGGCTCCCGATATAAACCACACACGAACAATAAACTTGATCTACTACAATAGAATCTCCCACATGCGTGGACACATAGACATGAGCACTCAAAGAATCACGAGGCATGACTAGATATGAAGAAAAATAGGATAACACGTATGGATAAGTAGAGTCCGGATAAAATAGAACTGAGACATCTCTATAGCAAACCGTAACAATACTTGTGATGACGGTATCAAATGACTCTACCTCAGGACTGGTTGGGAATGCATAAAAATGGGGATGGGCCCACCACTCTAACCTCCTCCCCTCAGTCGACCTCTAACTAGCTAGCCTCCACCTAACGGCCTGACCACCACCTCTACCAGCCTTACCCCCACCTCTAGCTGGCTAAGCGGGCAGTGAAGCAACCGGTGCCGGAATCATGGAACAAGAACTCTGTTGTGGCATGCCACCCTACGACCTAGGGCAAAACCTCGCGACGTGCCTTAGATCTCCATATGTATAGCAAGACCTTGGTTTCTGTGGCTGCTGAAGCTTAGACTGAACCTGACGGCCTGGATACTCACTGTGATAGCTCTAAATCGGTGGTGCACTAATGGGAGCTAAAGGTGAATTGTAGGCTCGCTGCTCTAGACGATACCCATATGAATCACGACTGCCTGAAGTACCGTGGGATGCTTGGAGAGCTGACTGAATCGGCCTGGGAGGATTGCCTCTACCAAAAGAACTTCTACCTCCAGATGAGGCACCGTTGGGAGTTGGCCAGTTTTACATATGTAATAGTTAGCATTTATAGCTTTTTTCGATTAGCAATTTTCATCTTTGATTTTGGACAAAATTGTAAACATTGAATTCTAATTTTGGATTATTATTTATGTATTAGCCACTAGGCATCTATACTAGTCATATATTTGCTAAAAAAAATTAAAAAAAAACCTTCAAGAGTTGCTTTTGCTCGTCTCTGCCACTAGTGGCATTATTTGATGGGCAAATAAGGAAAAATTCCAAATTCATGTTTGTTTTAAGGGAAAACAAACTACATTTGGGTCATCCTTATTTTAAGGAAAAAATATAAAATTAATCGACCGATCAAAAAACTAATTATATTTGCTAATCAAAAAATATATAGAATGTGTATGTTATATGTATATAATACACACATATTAAAAATATTTTATCGGCTATTATTTTTAGGAGGGCTAAAATATACTCATATTTCTTCCATTTTAATTGGGTAATTATTTATTAGATTGAAAATAAAAAATAGAGAAGCGTAAAATAAGAAAATAGTACCGGAAAATTTGTTTTCCGACCTCTATGATTTTTATGTAAATTAGTGAAAGTTTTATGATTTTTGTGTGAGAAAACAAAGTTATACGACTTTTGTGAAAAAAAATCCATAGTTATATGATTTTTGTGTGAGAAAATAAAGTTATATAACTTTGATAAAAATAAGTCATAGTTATATGGCCATTTGTGAAATTTACCCTGTACAAGAATATTAAAGCTAGAATAATTTCAGCTGAAATCTAAGCAACGGCTAGTACAGTTATTAAGAGCAACACAGACATAATAAAATATAAAATAATAAAAGGTTGGGCAACACAAGTGACCGTTAGAGCGCTCCTCCTAATATTTCATCAAAATCCTCTTTCCCTAAGATCACAAAACTATCCGTTACCTAGCTAGCAGCTCTCCCATTCTTGTACCACAAAACTCCTCTGTGGTTTTAGGTTTATTCTCTGCTATCTGTTGGATTCTTTGAAGCTCAGAAAAAGAACAACAACAACCATGGAATCAAGAAGAAAGAGTGGAATTAACCTTCCACCAACAATGTCGGAAACCACTCTTCGGCTTGACGCCTTTTCTTCTCCTCCCAGCTCAAAGCTTCGATCTAGAACAAGCAACTTGGGATCCCCAATGTCCAACAGGTCACCTCGGACTATATCAAACCTGTCATCATCCCCATCATCCAAATCTGCTACTTGCAGTGATAGGTTCATCCCCTGTAGATCTTCGTCGAGGCTACATACTTTTGGGCTGGTAGAGAAGGCGTCTCCTGTCAAGGAGGGATCAGGAGGAACCAACAACGATGCCTACTCCAGATTGTTGAAATCTGAGCTTTTTGGGTCTGATTTTGGTTGTTTTTCTTCTCCTGCAGGTGGTTCCCCAATGAGTCCCAGCAAGAATATGCTGAGGTTCAAGACTGAAAATTCAGGGCCTAATTCTCCTTACTCGCCTTCCGTTTTGGGGCACGACACTTCCCTCTCTAACGAGGTTTCTACCCCTCCTAAACCCCCTAGGAAAGTCCCCAAGACACCCCACAAGGTATATATATACATATGCTCTGTTTTTTTTTAATTCACTGATGACTAGAAATAATCAACTAGACTAGCTTGAGAATTTGGTCAAGGGATTACCTTATCTTTTGCCCTATTGTTGAAAACCATTATGTTGCTTGGATTGTAAGGTGGACTCAACTCAATGTTGGTTGAAAGAGTTTATCTGATTTTCATGGCTACAATGACAGGTTCTGGATGCACCAGCACTTCAAGATGACTTCTACTTGAACCTAGTTGATTGGTCCTCTCAGAATGTTCTTGCTGTTGGGTTAGGAACATGTGTTTATTTATGGACAGCTTCAAATAGTAGAGTGAGTATCTAGCTTGGGAAATACCTTTTCTACTTATATCATAGTAATTAACAACTATCTGAAACTTTCAGAATATGAATATTTGTTGTCAAGGTGACAAAGCTGTGCGACTTAGGACCCACTGATAGTGTCTGCTCAGTCCAATGGACCAGGGAGGGATCTTATATATCTATTGGTACAAGTCTTGGGCAAGTTCAGGTAGAGATTAGATTGTCTTATATATATCAGTCCTGTATAGAGAGAGAACCTGTATGAATTCTTTCTTTCTTTCAGGTTTGGGATGCCACACAATGCAAGAAGGTTAGAACCTTGGGTGGACATCAGACAAGAACAGGAGTTCTTGCATGGAGTTCGCGCATCTTATCTTCTGGTAGCAGAGACAGAAACATCCTTCAGCATGACATTCGCGTTCCTAGTGACTTTGTGAGCAAGTTTGTCGGTCACAAGTCTGAGGTAAATTTCCACAACTTGAGAGATTATTATCGATAATAAATATTCTGAGCTAAATATGAATATAACTATCAGGTATGTGGACTAAAATGGTCTCATGATGATAGAGAGCTCGCGTCAGGGGGCAATGACAATCAGGTATATAACATAACTAACTATCACACATCTATCTCAAGTATGTTATGTTGTTGCTGATGTTACTTGTGAATTATGATCAGCTCTTAGTGTGGAATCTGCGGTCCCAGCAACCAGTTTTGAAGCTAACAGAGCACAATGCAGCTGTCAAGGCCATTGCCTGGTCTCCTCACCAATGTGGCCTTCTGGCATCAGGAGGAGGAACTGCTGATCGCTGCATTCGCTTTTGGAACACAACAAATGGCAATCAGTTGAACCATGTGGACACAGGAAGCCAGGTCTGAATAACATTTATTCTGTATAAAAAATCTATTTGACAACAAAAAGTTAATCATATCATATGCATGCTGCACCTGCAGGTATGCAATCTTGCCTGGAGTAGAAATGTGAATGAGATAGTTAGCACACATGGGTATTCCCAAAACCAAATCATGGTGTGGAAGTATCCATCAATGTCAAAGGTAAATTTATATATATATATACACATTATCTTAGGTTGTAATTTTGAATATTTTGATTAAATGGGCAAGGTGACACAGGTAGCGACTCTAACTGGCCATAGCCTGCGCGTCCTGTATCTTGCCATGTCACCTGATGGACAGGTATTGCAAGACTATATTTCAAGTGTGTTCTGAAACATTATGAGAGAATTAAAGGATATACTACTTATTTAATGTGGTCTCGCAGACAATAGTAACTGGAGCAGGAGATGAGACATTGCGCTTTTGGAATGTATTTCCCTCAGTAAAAACTCCTGTAAGTCAAAATATCCTCGAGTGACTTGTGAATATTATTTAACCTTTGAACTGAGATTGTTCTTTGTTCCCAGGCAGCAGTGAAGGACACGGGACTTTGGTCTTTAGGCAGGACGCACATACGGTGATGGAGTTAATCTTGCTGTAAATGGAAATTGAAACGTATTACATACATCTCTAGTACAGCTGAAGGGCGAAGATACATACACAAACAAACAACATACTATTCTTTGCATATATGCATGCCTGTAACAATCTCCCAGAAAATTGCGCTGTTTTTCTTTACTTTTTCAATTCACAAACATCCATATACATACATTTCTTTGCAAAATTTGCCTGTAACATATACATCCTTTTGTCTCTTGGATGAACAAAGAAATATGTCAACTGTACCTCTATCTAATTTGGGAGCGACAATCACTCCGAAAACCCAGCTGCTCTACAAGTTTCTTTCTTCCTATGTCGCTTTTATTGGTAGATTAGCGTCGATTTTAAACCTCATTATTCTTCATAACCTATGCGATATTGCTATTATTTTATGTCGAATTCAACGTGAAACCATTCAAGCAAATGACAGAATATTACTTGTCCTCATAAATTACTGAAATAATTGCCTTCTTTAAAAGACTCAAATATTTAATATCTTTTTTTGTATCTATCCAATTTTAAAGACCCATTTTTTTTTGTATACATCATTCCAATTGATCATTTAAAAACTTGTTGAGTACGCGAAATAATTATTGAAAGAATTACAAGAAAATACATTTGACTTCACGCTATAACAAAAAATGGCCTATATTTTTTTAAGTTTACCCGGTATAGCGCAGTTTGTATAGAATTTGAAGGAAAGATTTCAATTACTAAACCTCTTTTTCCCTACACGAATGCTCTCTCCATGTGCCTCTTCATTCTCTACAGGCCTCCTCTATATTTTTTTAGGTACGCGAAATAATTATTGAAAGAATTACAAGAAAATACATTTGGCTTTACACTATAACAAAAAATGGCCTATATTTTTTTAAGTTTACCTGGTATAGCGCAGTTTGTATAGAATTTTTAGGAAAGATTTCAATTACTAAACCTCTTTTTCCCTACACGAATGCTCTCTCCATGTGCCTCTTCATTCTCTACGGACCTCCTCTATATTTTTTTAGGTACGCGAAATAATTATTGAAAGAATTACAAGAAAATACATTTGACTTCACGCTATAACAAAAAATGGCCTATATTTTTTTAAGTTTACCCGGTATAGCGCAGTTTGTATAGAATTTGAAGGAAAGATTTCAATTACTAAACCTCTTTTTCCCTACACGAATGCTCTCTCCATGTGCCTCTTCATTCTCTACGGACCTCCTCTATATTTTTTTAGGTACGCGAAATAATTATTGAAAGAATTACAAGAAAATACATTTGACTTCACACTATAACAAAAAATGGCCTATATTTTTTTAAGTTTACCCGGTATAGCGCAGTTTGTATAGAATTTGAAGGAAAGATTTCAATCACTAAACCTCTTTTTCCCTACACGAATGCTCTCTCCATTTGCCTCTTCATTCTCTACAGGCCTCCTCTATATTTTTTAGATACTCTATAATTTTTAAATCTATCTTTCATCCTATCTTTTCTTCTCTCTAATTTTCAGCTCTAATTTTCCGCCACGGACGAAGCTAGAGTTTTCAGATTTGGAAGTTAAAATTTTCAGATCTGGAAGTTTTTATTGTGAATTGGTGATATCAAAAGGAGTTCAAAATTTAAATTTGAAGTGATTTGGAGTAGATTTGAGTTAAATTTCAGAAAAATCGCAACGAAGAATACAAAGTTAGTTTTTTGTATAATTATATATAATAGTGTATTTGAGTGTATAAACACATCTTATAAACACATTTGAATTCATTTAATGGAGATTTGGACTGATTTTGAACAAGAATAACAACTGAAAATCGTGGAAGAAGTTGTCTACAAGATTTTCACAAAATCGTGTTCAAAATCATGTCTACACGTGGAAGACGTAGACGAACTTCTTCCACGATTTTTAGTTGCAATTCTTGTTCATAATCAGTCCAAAATCTCCATTAAATGACTTCAAATTTTATATACAACCTCCTTATACTATTTCTAACAATTCTAGATAATACTCACTCCAAATTTTTCACAAAATCAAATTTGGAATCTAAACCCACATATTTAAGCTTGTTAAAAATTTAATTTTCTCCACCCAAATGGATTTGGTTTGTTGAACTAATATTTGAGTTACAGTTACTGATTTGAAATTAACTTAAAAGATTGAGCAATCTTTTTTAAAAATTAAATGGTAATTTAGAGAACCTATTGGAGTTGAATGTTAAATCTTAGCCTATTATTTTTGGGCTAATTGGTTGTAAATTGAAATATGAGCTATAAAATTGAAAAGTAGGGATCCCAGTTGTTCTTATGTGAAATTTTTCTAATATTATTGGCAATTACAATTTAAACAACTTTAACTATCTTCTAAATATTATAGGGTGAGAGATCATTTAAACAACGGAAAGGGCCTAAAGTGCCTCTGAAGTATTAAATTTGGTACAATAATGCCCTCCTTCTACCTTTTTGAATAAAAATACTCTTACAGCTTAACTTCTGGCTCAGCTATACCCCTATTTCTAACAGCCTTTCCATTAAAAAAAACTTTTTTTAATCCACGTGTAATATTTTTATTAGCTGAACTTAAAGACCAGCCCTAAACACTAACCCAACCCGTAACCGTCCCGTTACCCACCCACGCCTTTTAATTCGTTTTAACCAAGTAAAACAAGTTTATCTCATTACATTACACTAGTATCCGTACCCGCGCGTAGCGCAGAAAATAATAAATATAATTTTTTATAAGAATATATATGTTGTAAAGATGATAGATATAAAGGATTGTGGAGATGCTATTATTTTTTGGAACATGTAAATATAATGGATATTCGTATAATACATTAGTAAGGAAACACAATAAAGAAACATGCAGTTATTTCCTAAAGTTCAATAATGTTATCTACTGCCTCAATGAAGCAAATCATGTATACCAGCTAGATTGCCATAAACAAAGGTTTCTAATGCCTTAAAAATTTAGGAAACAGCAAAGCCATAGTATTTCAAGATAGAAAAATCAGGTTTCACAACATACAGTTACGGAAAAATTACTCCCCACTTGCACAACCTTGACATTCACAATATACACTCTATTCCAGCAACTTCCCTAAAAAGAACTCATAAATACTATCTTGCAAGATTAAATACGATGGTGAAAGAATTGCACGTAGTGATCCAATCTCTTCTAAATCTAATTCTAGAGCTGCTTCGAACTGAACATCTTTTCAAGATGATTCTAAGCCAGAACATCTACCGCAGAAATATGAAAGAAATGTTTGAAAATGTGCTCCCGTATCAGCTTCCTCTACTACAAAGCAGCATCTACATTGTGCATTTAGTACTGCACTTCCGCACTTAGTCCATGCGAATGCCAGAAAGATCCATAAGACAAAAATGGGCTCTTATGATGTGCAATATTGAATATTGGCCAGAATGTTTCACACTTTCTTTTATCATCATTAAGGTATTGCCATCTTTCAAAACCCAGAAAACATAAGTCAAGGTCTGGAAATTCTAATAAGACAAAAAAGATTGGGTAGGCTCAATCAACTACCAACCCTCGGGGTATTTTATATGATTTGTCTTGACACACTTGTAAATTTTGCAGGACCTTTCATCTGGACAAAGGAGAACCAAAAAGATGTCAAAGAAGGATAACAACCTCACAAATGAAAGTTCGTCAAGTAGATGTTCGTCATCTTATAGTGTACAAGCTATTTCTTCAAATAGTGTAGTTAGGGGAACAAAGACAGATGATTGACATTTGAAATCGAGTAGGAATCAGGTTATTACCATTTTTATTATTTCTCCTCTGGTCTACTTCATCTATTTTATCAAAAGGTTTAAAATAAATAAAGAGGAAGTTGTTGCTGGTGCAATGTGTTCTAAATTTAGATACTTCTCTTTCTATTTCCTTAAAAGTTCTAAGGGGGTTGTGACCGGGAGGCTAGAGCTGTTGTTTCTGGAAAAAAAATATCGAATGCGAGGGAAATCTAGCTCTTCTGCCCATGAAAGTACTGGTGTTACATAATGCCAGATTCATCATCATTCATCGCCTTGCATACTTTATCTTTACACCTCTAAGATGTTGTATCCTTTCCGAGTGTGAATATGATTAAATTCTGAATTTTGGTGAAATAAGCAGGTTTATTCGACTGGGTATGTCTTTGAATTAAGAGCTCTCGTCAAAACTTGTCAAATTCTCTGGAATTTTCAGTTAACCGCATACTTCAAGGCAACAATGCACTATAGAAGTATAAAATATGTTTTCCGTTATGATCAGTATGAAATATATTTTGTTTTACTATTCATACACTTCCAACTTTTATCATAAAAAAATAATATATTTATAGATAATGAAAAAGCAAGTCAGGTAACACCTTTATAAGAATGGCATTAAAGAAACATACTTTGGATCCAACTGTTGAAGTTTGGCAAAATGCCAAAGTCCCACATTGGTTGGCAGTTAAGTTTGGGGGGGATTTTTTCCCTATAAAAGAAGGCCTAATGTTTAGGATTGAAACACA